TCACCGGCTCAAGGTTGACTCAGCCTTCCATCCTTCCGAGGTGGGTGAAATGAGGACCCGGATTGTTGTTGGGGGGCAATATGCTGACTCTGTAATCCGCTTAGAGAGGGCTGAAAGCCCTATGAAGCGGTATATAAGTCTAACTGCTATTGCTATTGCTTTCCAAGGGTCACCACCTCCAATACACACTATGTAAACATGTCAGAAATGAAGGAATAAATGCAATAAATAAATGGAGAATGAAAAACTCTATCCCCCCTCTTTCATAGCACGTGGCCCCCACTGGCTGTCTCTTCCCAACTTCTCTTTCCTCTGCCCCCCTCCCCATCGCTGTCTCTTCAATTGCCACGTCCTTCCCGTTAGAAATCCACCAGAGGAAGCTTTAGGGATTTTTGCAAACAAAGAACAAGAGAAAAAGACGCGGAAAGAAAGAAAGAAAGATAATATAAATTGAGGCCCACCTTGGACCTGCCATTGTAAGCTCAGGGGGCTCCGATCCAGGGCACTGAGTGGGTCTGTCCCAGTGGGACCGCGGGGCCCTGGTGAGGTCATCTAAGCTCAGCTCAGATGCTGGGAGTTTGTGTGGCAAGGGAATTTGTCATAGCAACGCAGCGGAGCCACAAGGCAGTCAAATCCTGGAAGTTTCCTGCCCTCTAGAGGTCTTTCCGACGAATGGCAGCTTCTTCCCAAGGGCCACAGGGGCTCAAGGAAGAGATGGGGGGCTCGGAGTTTCAACCTGGGCGATGGAGTTGCAAGCCAAAAGGAGGAAATCTTCCAAGCCCCTTCGCAGTTCAAGAGAGCATATGTGGAACCCTCCCACCTGGTGGCTGCAGATAATTTCCCTTCCTTTTCTTCCTCTCCCCTCTTTTCCTTCTGTTTCGTTTTTTCATTCCTTTCCCTTCCTTCCTTCCTTCGCTTCAGTTTCCTTTCCCTCCCCTGCCTTTCTTCCTCTCCTCCCCTCTCCCTCCCTCCTTTCCGTTTCATTTTCCTTTCTTTTTTTCCATTCCTTCTTTCCATTTTCTTTCTTTCCTCTCTCCTCCTTTCCGTTTTGATTTCCCTTTCTTCCTCTTCTCTCTTCTCCTTTCCTTCTTTCGGGTTCATTTTCCTTTCCTTTCTTTCCCTTCCCTTCCTTTTTTCTCTATTCCTTTCCTTCTTTCCTCTCTCTCTTCTCCTTCTTTCCTCTTTTCCTTTTTCCCATTATCTTTCTTTCCTTTTGTTTCCTTCCTTCCCTTTCTTTCCCTTCCTTTTCTTTTTCTCTCTTCCTTTCATTTCCTTCTTTCTTTTCTTTCTTTCCTTTCCCTCTTCTCCTTCTTTCCTCTCTTCCTTTTTCCATTATCTTTCTTTCCTTTCGTTCCCTTCCTTCCCTTTCGTTCCCTTCCTTTTCTTTTTCTCTCTTCCTTTCATTTCCTTCTTTCTTTTCTTTCTTTCCTTTCCCTCTTCTCCTTCTTTCCTCTCTTCCTTTTTCCATTATCTTTCTTTCCTTTCGTTCCCTTCCTTCCCTTTCGTTCCCTTCCTTTTCTTTTTCTCTCTTCCTTTCATTTCCTTCTTTCTTTTTTTTCTTTCCTTTCCCTCTTCTCCTTCTTTCCTCTCTTCCTTTTTTCCATTATCTTCCTTTCCTTTCTTTCTCTTCCTTTTCTTTTTCTCTCTTCCTTTCATTTCCTTCTTTCTTTTTTTTCTTTCCTTTCCCTCTTCTCCTTGTTTCCTCTTTTCCTTTTTTCCATTATCTTCCTTTCCTTTCTTTCTCTTCCTTTTCTTTTTCTCTCTTCCTTTCATTTCCTTCTTTCTTTTCCTTCTTTCCTTTCCCTCTTCTCCTTGTTTCCTCTTTTCCTTTTTTCC